TCAAAGCGGGTGCTGGCATTACTGGGAGGATGCCGCATCCACCCCAAATTTCGCTGCCAGTCCATTCCCAGCACCGCCACTGCCAACTGCCTGGCGCAGCCCCAGCTCTTCCCAGTGCATAGGTGGAGGCAGGGCGTTGAGCTGGGGCTGTGCCAGGTGGCTGGTGGCAGCACTGGGAGTGGAGCAGTGGTGAAATATGGGGTGGATGCAGCATCCTCCCAGCTCCGCCACCACCCACTCCGAGCCCAGCCCCTGCCGAGAAGAGCCCCGCACAGCCCTAGCTACAGCCTTCCCCACCCCATGCAAATCCAGGGGGCACACGCCCCTCTCCCCTGTGTGCTCCCAGCACCTGCCCCTACCCCCTCCCTCACTGCAGGGGTGTTGATCTGCTCCCCTCTCCCCTTCCATCACACTGGCCGTACCAGCTGGAGGCAGCTCGCCACGCTGCCAGCTCTGTTCCTCACTGCCTGAGTGCTGTGTTATGGCTGTGCGCAGCACAGGCATTTTTCAGCCAAATTACTGGCCCCATCGGGCCGATATCCAATACAGCCTGTTTTCTGTATATCAGTACCGATCCGATATTGGACCGATGTATTGGTGCACCTCTAGTTGGTAGTTGTAAAAACATGTTGCTTTTTCTGCCAAAATGAACTCTAAGCTAATATTTGTGCAAGGGTCAACTACTTCTAAATAATATTTAAAAGTAAGTATTATCCTGAAAATTTATAATCTGACAGTTTGAATTGCTGGTTACTCTTATTTTGTATGGTGTGGTCAAGTTACAAATTAATTTTCTGTTTTTTTGATAGCTCCTGACATCAAGTGCTGTTCATAAATGGGGAACTGAAATCCATGAGGGAATCTACAATATGCTGATGCTGCTAGTTGATTTGGTTGCAGAAAGAGTAAAACAGGACCCAGTTCCTGTTGGGCTTCTGGGTGTGCTTACGATGGTATTTATCTATTTGATTTAGTTTCTTGTAATGACAGTACTATAAATTCATGGTACCTTTTGACTTGCCTGGAAAAATAATGGGCGATACAGGAGTAAATAATATTCATTAGATGTATCCCTAGTTCATAAACAAGCATCCTTAAAATGTGGAAATCTCTAGAAATACATTGTGTACTCACGTGCATATATAGTCCTCAGGAATGTGTGACTTCTAATACTACTGCTACTTCTCACCATATAACTTGTAATTTAATAATCTATAAACTGTGGTAAGATGTTTTGCGTGCCTTGGTTTGTGGGTGTCTAATTTGAGATAACTGAGACACCTGCATTTTACATGGTGAGTGCTTAGCACTTCTGGAGATCCAGTCCATTTCAAGGAATCTAAAGTTCAGCAGTTAACTCATTAACTATTTTTTGAAATCTTACATTGTATTATTGGCTCTAAAAAGACAACATTGTTAAAGAACGAGCGGGCGTCTGGGGAGCAGGGTTTCCTGTGTGGTGATCCTAGCTCTGACACTATTACAGGTATTTTCAAATTACTGTGAGTCTGTCCTCAACCATTAAAATAGAGACAAATATAACTGCCTCACCAGGATGTTTAAAATTGTCCGTATGGCACTCTGAGATACCTCTGTGTCCAGTCCAGTCTAATTAACAATGTTATGGATGATCTAGCTAAATGTTTACCTTTTCACTTGAAATACTTAACTGTCAACAGGAACTATGGTCAGTCCTTTAAGTTAAATATTACTAAAATGGTTTATTCTTGAGAACCGTTCATTGTGCTTGGCTTTTTTCCCCCAGGCATTTAATCCTGACAACGAGTATCATTTCAAGAATCGAATGAAGGTGTGCCAGAGGAATTGGGCAGAAGTCTTTGGGGAAGGAAATATGCATGCTGTCTCGCCCATATCTACTTTCCAGAAGGTGAGTGCGTTTACCTTTTTTTAAATCCTTCTTACAGAACAAACTTTCTTCAAAGCTGAACAGTACAAAGGTTCTACTATAAATATTAATCCAAAGTAAGATGAAGTTAATCTTCAAGAAACCTCAGTGGGTGGGTTTTAAATACAAAAACTGGCTTGTTGTTTAGAAAATCATTAAATGTTTTACCAGTGCTAAGTTTTCCTCGGTGGGACCTGACTCTGGAGTTGGTGTCCTTCACCTATTTCCCTCCCCCCAAACTATTGCTACAACCATACCTAGTAGATCAGTTGCAATTAAAAGACCATCCTTACTTGTACAGTGTGAAATGACCTAGTTCAGGACAAGGCCAAATATATGAGTATCCACATTACAAAATACCATCTTAATTGACCATCTTGTTAGCAGTCTCAGAAGAAGCGTCTCTCTGAAAGGGGCAGTCTTTCAAGTCTGAATGGAGGCATATGGGCAGGGAAGCATTTTGATGCTTGCACTTTGACAGTGGCATGTACATTGGGGAGGTGAACAGGATTCCATTCTTTTCCTAAAAGCAAGTCGGGTCTTGTGAAAACAGAGCTTAAAGTTGAGAGAGCTTCTTTAGTAGTGGTCCACACCGCTGGTAAGGTATAAATAGCTGTTTGTGAGGCACCTGCCACAGAACATACTGTTGTGATAACACATGGTTATTGATGTCAGGTATCATTCAAAAAAGGATTATGCCAACGAAGATGCCCAAAAGCTCCAGGTAATAGCATGTATGGGAAGCAAATTAACCTAGAGCCCTAAATATAATGCAGTTGCCACAGTACTGGTTTAAATTTTGGCATTGTTGCAAATATGTCACTAATTTGTTAACTTTTTTTTAATCGTCTAGGAACCACACGGGTGGCTCGTGGATCTGGTAAACAGAGTAAGTAAACCCAACAGTAAGTGGGAGCCGAAGTACCAATTCTGGCGTCCATTCCTTGATTCTTTATGCTCCTTTGCCTATAGGATGGGCAGCAAGTTTTAAAATTTTAACCCTGCTCTACCTGTCAGATAAAGTGCTTTCCTGGTTGAGTTGCCTCCCTACCTACCTGTGGCCTCATGGCTTGTTCTGCTTAGCTGAGGGCACTGAGAGGGCATCTCTGAGGCTACAATGCCATTCAAAAAGCTGCTGCTGGAGAATAAGGGAATGGGGGGTGGAGGGCTGCCTGTATCTCAGACCATCGTCCTGGGTGCATCTTTCAGTCCTCTTTCTCTTGCCCACCTCTTGCCTCAGGCATGAGACTCCAAAGCTTGCTATTAAACTCAGGATTTGAACATAATTTTATAATGAGAACTCCAGTGAACAGGAGTATTCGGTTAAATGTCCTAGTAAGAGATCCTTGTTCGCATATACTTTGCCTGCCATCTTGAATTCTTATTGCACTGATCACTGGAAAACAAAGCTTTTTATGCTTCAAGTAAAAACTTGGAATACTTGCTTTATTGAATTTTGGAAGGATGGTGTATGCTAATTTACTGCCATTCTACTGTTCTTTAGTTTGCAGAGTTGGGTGGATTTTCAGCAATTCAGTCTAAACTGAACTCAGAAGATATTGAACTTGGGGTAAGTTAATCTTTTGCTATTTTCCTTTTTAAGGTAGTGTTCTATGTATCAAATTGCTACTATCCTGTTCAATAAAACCCACTAGAACTGAGGCAGTACTCCAAAAAGCATGGCAGAAAATAGTTATGCTGTTGAAACGTGTTTTGAGGATCTGAGGAGGTATGAAACTTTCCCAGAGAGGATTTATCACTATTGAGGTGTAACTAGGTTGCAGTTTTATGTCCTGTGTGTTCTCAAGATGTTCCTTTATTTACCTCACAAGTAGCTACGTTTTAATTGCAAGTGAAATTATTCTGTATGTAAATTTTAAGATCTCTAAAGTGTCCATCCTTCTAAATAACCCAAATGTTTAAATTACAGCACCAAAATTAGACCTGATTAATGAATTGCCATATAAACCTTGTGGTATCTTAGCTTCATACAACTGAACTGTTTTTGTACTGAATGTAAGTTAGGAAATTAAAATATATACCAGCTTTAAAATTAAATTGCCATGCCTAAGAACCAAGAACTAAGGGTAATTAGGAAGAGAGAGCTCATTTTAAAGCAGTTTGGAGGGAATGTTGTTTCCTTTGTCAGTGTGCTAATTTTGCCCCTTAAGGAGAGCAAAGTAGTTCATAATCAAGTATGACAGGAGGAAAAGGGAGCTGGCCATGTATTGCTATGGATTTTTTTTCTTTTCTAAAATGACTAGTAACCTGTTGCTTAGGAAACTAATTTTTAGTGTTCACTTAATTTACAGTCTCTTGGTGATAGCAGCCCATTTCTTGCTGCAGGCAGATTGCCTTGTTTGAGGACGAAATAGATCTTGATGTGTCAATGGTTGGAATTCTTATACCAGTAACTTTTTCTCTAAAATCCGTGGATTAAAAAACTTGCCCCCAAAATCCTTGTATGGCTGATCTGTATGTGGAAGATTCTTCCTTGAGTTCTGTGCAGAAAACTACTTTCTATTGCAGGTAGGAGGATTTGTCACAGAACTCCATAAAGGATATAAATTCAGAACCTAAGGAAAGAGTTTTTGCCTTGTGGCTTTCCACAGAACTTTTACTTCTTGTTCTCGGTGCTGTAAAGCAAGCTCTCAAAGCCTTTATTGGCTGTTGCCATGAGCTCACAGACTGACTAATAGATCCATGTGATAATGAAAACCACCATCATTGCTTTTTTGGTCAGCAAGGAAGAGATGCAATGCCATCCTAAAACATACAATTGTTTAAGTTTGGACTGGATGCTGTTGTCATGAGTAGTTAAAGAATCCTTCTCTCGTTGATGTAAGCAAGAGAGTAAAATTGGGCATACAGGATAGACAGACACTAGTAAGCCTGCACCTATATTTTAAAGAATGTTATTACAGCAAAAGCTGTGTTTAACCAGCACTTTATTAGCTGGAAAACTCCATTAACCAGCATCCGAGGGACATGGCAGAAGTGAAACTGGAAGTACCACTTCTGGGTCTTGCCACCACTGCAAGCAGAGTTCTTGCCACTTCTTCGGCCCAGGGCAAAGCAGCCTACACAGGGCCCCCCTCCCTGTCCCCCGGCACACTGACGCCAGGGAGTGCACCAGACAGTGCACATTTGATTAACCGGAATATTTGATTAACTGGCATGCCCCATTCCCGGGGGATGCCGGATAACAGAGCTTTTACTGTATTCCTCCGAAAGAGTCTTTTTTTTTATCTGTCTCTAAGTGTCTCCTATCTTTCTTCCAGGCAGTCTCTGCATTAGTTCAGCCACTCGGAGTGTGTGCAGAGTATCTCAACTCCTCTGTAGTGCAGGTAAAATGTGTCTGTTGTGAGTTCTTCTCAGAAACTCTCAGCAATATTGTTCTCTTGGGTTCTGTATTGACTTCTTTTTTTTATGTTTTAAGTGGATTTCTAAAGTATGGTATCTGAAAGGCATCACAGCCGGTACCTGTTAAGTTTGACGTAGGAATCTCAAAAGTCATGCGGAAGGCTGAATTTAGTTTTTCTGAGATGTATCAAATGGCTGACTGCTTGGTTTTGTCTTTTTCTTTTTTTTAAACACTGAAACATGTCTGGCATTAAGACGCAAAATGTTAGTTAGCTGAATGCCATGTGTTGTCTTAAAAGCAATCTCTAGATTCACTTTCTGCATCTATTATAAGTAGTGCCTTTCAGAAGATATTGCTAACAACCAACCAATTCAGATGTCAGTTATTGAAAGTGAAGAAAGTTTTGAGTTTATCCATGAACAAAGCTGTATGAGAGAGAAGCAGGTGGAGAAACACCTGGGACATAGAGATTGAATATATCATTTCGTAACCAAGACAGTATAAATGCTACTTCTTAATTCAAGCTAGACATGGTAAGAATGAGCTTTTCAATGCAGGTTGAAAACATCAAGTTGATTAAACCAGCGTAAACCAAAGATGAGAAGATAATCTGACTCAGTGGGTACCTTTTGCTTTGGACTCCTAGTTCTTTGCAACTAAGATCTCCAGTTGATATGTTTGAGCTGGAGGTGGACAAATTTTGCTGGAGAGAGAAATCTTTATCAGTGCTAACCTCATACACACTTTTGGTCCCATTTATGGCTGATATATTTGTAACTCTTCATTCATAGAGAAAGCAGGTAGGAAGAAATAGATGGGAAGGTGGCTTTGTTGCACATGTGATAACTGGTGTATGTTGAAAAGCCTAGATCTGTCAGATACTGTCCTGACCCAAGGCAGGACATCATTCAGAACTGACCATTTTATCTTGGACTCTTTAGCTTCATTCTCCGCTCATACTCACTGGATGGTTTATGTGATATTTGTTTTGGCTTATGTATTCAAAGTAATTAATTGTGAACTTTAGTCATTAAGCCTTTTCAGAAAGAAACTTCTATATTTAGTTTCACTGTAACCAGATCTTCCAAGTAACTTAACTGGCTCTACGAAATACAAAATGATTCTTATTTTTCTCAATTTCTTTAGCCCATGCTGGATCCAGTCATTCATAAAATGATTAAATATGTACAAAATGTGGAAGAAAAGGACCTAAAAGACAAGGTAACTTTCTGCTCATCAAGTATGCAATGTGAACTTGTTTGTATATGTTGGAAATGCCGAACAGTAGTCACTTTGAATTAATTTCCCTTGACCAGTATATCCTGACCTGAATTTAGACTGGGAATATATGTAATAGAGTCCTGTGTAATGTGTTGTGTGCACTTACCAAGGCCTACGTAATCTTCAGAAAATCTCAAGTGTCAGATCTCCCTTCCTAAAATCCTTTCCCGTGATAGTTGTAGAACACTCTATTATAAACGCAGTCTTACAAAGTACTAAATGCCTTCTGTTCTAACTTGGCTTTGAGATATTTGATACCCAACAGCATTAGACTCGGTTTAGTTGATTTGCTTTGTATTGGTTGTATCAAATATGCTGTTGCATTTCTTTTCAGAGACAATATCACATTGGTTATTTACAAAACATGATTGATTTTAATTTTTA